CTCCCTCTGGCAGCCTGGAGCAAGCTGACTGGCTTCAAGTTCACCGAGGTGGCCAATCGGAGCAATTCCTTCCTGCAGGGCCCGCACACCGAGGCCAAGCTCGTCGAGCGGATGCGTGCCGCGAGTGAGAAGGGCGAGACCACTAGGGTTCGCGTCGTCAACTACGATCGCTACGGCACGCCCTTTTACAACTCGATTGAGATCTTCCCGCTGCGCGACATGGCCGGCAAGCTGACGCACTACTGCGGCGTGCTGCACGGGGAGGACATACCGGATGGCGTGGTGCCGCCGATCGACAGGCACGCCGCCTGCGCCCGCGCCGCCGCTCGTGCCGAGCCGGCAGGCGGGCCACGGGCCACGCGACTATAGCCCGCCTCCTTCCTCGCCCGCGCAGGAAGCCGGAGGAGCTGTTTGGCTCGACCTCGGGCTCGTCGACCGACCCGGACGAGGAGGAGGAGACCGCCGCCGCCGCCTCGGGGTGGCCGGCCGCCGCTGCTGGCCGCGGCGCGGGGCGGGTGAAGCGGCTGCGGAGAGGCGGGCACGTGACGCTGCAAGAGGCGCTCGACAACACGGAGGACGCGGTTGTGATGACGCAGCCGCACCCGCCGTACGCGATCACGCACGTGAACGCGCCGTGGTGCGCGCGCGTGGCCCGCGTAGGGGAGGGGCGATTGGGGGCTGCGGGGGGGGAGGGGTGGGGGGGGGGGGGGGGGAAGGGTTACCGAAGTTACCGAAGAGGCGGCGGCTGCCACTGGTGGCGGTGGAGGTGGTGGCGCCTCGACGCGACGCCCCGCCCCCGCCCCTTCCCCCCCGTCGGGCAGGTGCGAGATGTGCGGCTACACCCTCGAGGAGGTCGAGGGGCTCTCGAGCTCGATTCTGCAGGGCGCAGAGACGGACGAGGCGCGACCGCGGGGCGGCGCTCTTGGGAAGGGCGTTGGGGCGGCGAGGGTGAGGTGCGGCCGCCGCCGCCCCGTAGGCGCTCCTCTCCGAGCTGATGGCGAGCGTGCGGCGCGGCGAGAGCTCATCCGCCACGCTGGTCAACTACAAGAAGGGCGGCGCGCGCTTCCTCAACCAGGCGCACGCGTCCGGCCGAGAGTAGACGCCGGGAGGACGCCAACAGAGCTTCCCCGACCGCGTGCGCTTGCAGCCCGGTCTACAGCCACGCCCATGACCCGTCCGGGACCTGGTCCCCTCCCCAGGTGCACATACAGCCCGTCTTCAACCAGAACGACGAGGTCGACCAGTTCATGGCGATGCTGCACGAGGTGGATGAGAAGGAGCGGCCGCCGCACGCCGCCCCAGCAGTAGCCAAGAAGGCGGGGCGGCGAGGGGAGCGAGCCTGAGGCGAGGGGGGAGGGGGGCGGGGTAGTCTTTTAGGCACGTAGCAGTCGGACAGAGGTAGCCTGTCCCGTGTCGGACGGCAGTCGTGGGGAGCCGGGATTGGTAGGGCCATGCCTCGCCCATGGCATGCTGTTACATGCTGCGTGCGGCTCTCGCCGTCCGTGCATGGATGTGTGTGCATCGTTCTGCATGTGGCGCGGTGGCGCGGTGGATGGAACGCGAATTTCGTCTGGACGGGGGACCCGTGTGGGAGAGCTGACGCATGTCTGGACGGGCCAGCGATGCGTGGAACATAGCCCTGGCTTTTGGGGACTGTACTCTATGTCCTATGTGTACACGCTCCGTCACCCTTTGCTGCGTCCACAAAAGCTCCTGGCCGTCATACGACAGAGCGGACAGGGTGGTGAGTGGTGTCACGCCACACGGCACGACACGCGCGCCTCGCCCCTCGCACACCCCGCTCCCCGCTCCCCCCGGTCCCCGCCTGGCGCGCTGCCGCTCGTCGGTCGTCGCTCAGCGGCGCACCCGCACGAATGCGGCATGGAAGTCCCGCACGGCCACGGGGCGCACGGGGCGCGGACGTTCTCCCGCGCGCCACGCCGCCCCGGGCCCAGGTGCCCCGGGCCGCTCTCTCCGGTGCACATACTCTACGGCTTAACTCTATTCTCTATCCACACACACACCCGGGGTCGCTTCGCTCGAAAGAGGAAGAGTGCGGACAGCCGGGTGAGAACGGCCCGCAAGGCGCAAGAGAGACTCTACATCACGCGCAGACAGAACGCAATACCCGCGCGCCGCCTTAGTTACAGCGAGACAGGCCCAGCCCTGCACGCGGCCCCGCGGCCCCGTCGGAGAGACTCGGCTCGGAGGGGCGACAAGACGGTGCCCTCCCGTGTAGGGCCCGTTTCCTGGCCGGTGGAGCACAGGTGGGGCAGGGTCGTCCCTCGCCCTCACCCCTCGACCATGAAGGAGGTGGACTGCACGCCAACCTTGACCTTTGGCCCTCGCAGGCGCGGGTTCTCCTCCTCCTCGGGCTGCACCTCGGCCGCCCCCGCCTCGAGGAGCAGCCTCGCAACCTCGTCGTGGCCCGCCGTATGCGCCCAGAGCAGCGGCCGCGTTGACGACTCGTCCTGCGGGTCCGCCTCGGCGCCTGAAGCGACAGCACCGCGCCGCCTGAGCGAGGCCCGCCTCCACTCTAGCCTCTACGACCGCAGCGTCATCTGGCCGCCAGCGCTCTCGGCTCTAACTCGGCTCTGCCTAGGCCCAATCTCAGCTACATCTCGGCCACGTCTCGGCCGTGTCTAGATCACGAGATCTCGGCTGATCTCGGCTAGGTCTCGGCTCGGGCGCCGGCGTCCAGCAGCGCCTCCACCACCCACGCGTGCCCCTCCCGCGCCGCAAAGTGGAGCGGCGTGCTCCCGTCCTACCGAGATCTAGCCGAGATCTAGCCGAGATCTAGCCGAGATCTAGCCGAGATCTAGCCGAGATCTAGCCGAGATCTAGCCGAGATCTAGCCGAGATCTAGCCGAGATCTAGCCGAGATCTAGCCGAGGTGGAAGTGGCGCGGAGTGCGCCCGTCCTGCGCTCGCGCGTCCGCCGACGCGTTCGCCGCCAGCAGGTACTGCACCACCACCGAGTGTCCCATCTCCGCCTGCGGGACGTGTCGTGGACGTGTCAGGGAGCACCGCCGCCGAGCCCAGCCATGCCTCGGCTGCATCTCGGCTGCATCTCGGCTGCATCTCGGCTGCATCTCGGCTGCATCTCGGCTGCATCTCGGCTGCATCTCGGCTATGTCTCTACCGCGTGGTGCAGCGGCGCGAGCCCGCCCGCCGCCGCGGCGCTCACCGGCGCCCCGTACCTGACTCGTCCACGGCACGTCCATCACACGTCTCGCGTGCGGGGATGGGCCCACCGGCGCGCCGCGCCGCAGCAGTAGCTCCGCGACGGCGGCGTGGCCCTTTCGTGCCGCAACGTGCAGCGGCGTCGAGCCGTCCGAGGCGCGCGCGTCGATCGTCGCGTTGTGCTCGAGCAGCAAGTCGACGAGGTCCTTGTGCCCGCCTTCCACGGCCGCGTGCAGGGGCGTGAGGCCCATCCCCGACGGGTGGTTGGCGTTCGGGTCGGCGCCTAACAGCAGAGCTCGTGCAAGGCTCACGGCGGGCTGCGGAGCGGCGCGGGTCGGCGTTCTGTCGGCGCCGCTCGCGAGCAGCCGTGCGACAACCTCCAGCTGGTTGTTTGCGGCGGCGAATTGCAGGCCGGCGGCCTGTGCACTCGCAGCGGACCCGTCACCGGCGGGAGAGACGGAGGGCGTGTGACGGAGGGCGTGTGACGGAGGGCATAACCTGCGAGGCGATGCGGCTATCCGCCAGCTTGGAGCCACCGGTCTTCTGCGCCACGTACTGCGAGGCGAGCTGCTGCCGAACCTGCGCGCGGAAGCTCTCCGTCAACGACTTGGTCGCCTGCTCAATCTGCCGCAGCTCATACTCGTCCAGCACGCCATCCCCGTTGAGGTCGCCCGCGAGCGGCTCGCCCGCCGCCCCGTGCGGATCGACATAAGCCTGCTGCTGAGCCGAGGCGGCCACGACTAGCAAGGCGGTGCGAAGCAGCATGTCGGTGTGGCTGCGGCGCGACCCGATTCAGCACTCGGAAATAACAATGCACAGGCTGACCGTTACGCAAAAAAGCGCGACTTGCGACTTGCACTCTTTCGTGCCACTCTCTCGCCGGTGCGCGGGGCATGGCCTCCCGCGCGGCTCGCGCTCACTCGGCCTGCCTCCGCCTCGCGGCTGGCTGAGCACGCCATGGCGCATGGGTCCGCCGGGTGTGGCGCTGCTCGCTCACTGCGCTGCTGCACAAAGCTGCGAGAAGCAGAGGGGCCTCCTGAGCTTGAGCATTGCGCAGCGCGGCTGCTGGTGCTCGAGGGCGGCCGTGCGGTGGCGTGAGGGCCTGATTGGTGGTGACCTCGTGCTGCATCAGCGTGCGCAGCATGGCTCCCTCACCCGGTGCTGAGACACGCTGGTGGGCGACTGGCGCCAGCTTCTCAATGCTGTCCTTGGCGTTGTGCAGCATGTCGCAATACTCCTGTTGCGCTGACCGACGCGCGGGGTGCGTCGTGCCGCGAGTGGAGCGAGAGGCTCGCGAGGCGCGCGGCTGTCGGTCAACCCTGCGGCGCATGCGCGCCGCCAAGGCTGCTCGACAGGCGACTAGCATTGTGGCGACGCGGTCGCCGTTACTCCAACTTTGCTTTGCCGATCAAAAGCGCCCGTCCTTTGCTTTTTAGCCGAGCCCGGAAGCCCACAGCGCAGGAGCCCGGCAGCAGCGCCGACGGCGGCCCCGCACCGCGTCGGCGGCGGTCTGAGCGAGGCAGCCTGCACTCCACAACCTCCTTGGCACTCCCCCGACGAGCGGCGCGCTATGCGGGCCCGCTGCGGGCGACGCGGGCGGCGAGCCGACGTGCGTGTCGCAGTCGTAGGCAGCGCTGTGGCGAAGCGAGGCGGTCGGCGCAGGCCCCCGGAGGCGGTCGCAGCGAGAGAAGCGAGGCAGAAGATGCTGTTGAAAGGGTGGGGAGCAGCCTGCCGTCGAGCGGCGCGCCGCGCGAGCCCGCTGCCGGCGACCCGACCGGAGAGCTCGTAGGCATGGTACTCTGAGCGCGCCATCGCGCCCGATACGGCCCGCCCTGGCCCTGCGGACCTTCCCAGAGAGCTTGGCGAGGCTGTGCAGAATGCCGAGAGCATTCTGAGCAGGCTGCCGTCGAGCGACGAGCCATGCTGGCTCGTCGCGGGCCGCGAGCTCGACAAGACCCGCGCAGAGCGTCGCCGAGCCTGGCGTGCCCGCCCGCACGCCCGCGGTCGCAGGCATGGAAGCCGAGCTTCCTGGCGTCTCTAGCCAGCGCTCATATGCCAAAAGACACCTCGCAGCGCGCGAGACGTGACCGAACAACTCTAACACTCACACGTAATTTGGGGCCTGGAGCCCTGTTTACGCGCGCGCGAGACGTGCAGACAGGGTTGTCAGGTGAGAGCGAATGGCGCGGTTCACGCCTCGCACAACACGGTACTCCTTGTTGTCGGGGAAGTCTTGGCTCTGCAGGTGGAGACGCTTGAGGCACTCGATCGAGACGCTGTCGCAGATGGAGAGATCGTAGTCTGCGGCGGGCGTAGTGTTGAGATTGATCGTGTCGGCCACCCCCGAGGGGGAGTTCCAAGCGAGCGAGACGCCGGTGGCGTTGCGGAGGGCGGCAACAGCAGCAGCAGAGGACGCAGCGGCGCCCGGGACGGCGGGCGCCCACGCGAGCCGCCGGGTGCGAGTGGCAGCCGAGACGCCACGGTTGTCAGCGTGGGTCAGGTTGGCGCCCGGTGTGCCCGGCGCCGCGTGCTGCAGTGCCTTGGCGATGGCGTCGGTGCACTCGGCCTTCGGCGTGATCTTCTCCTTGTGGGCTTTGTGCAGCGGGTCGTTGCGAGACGAGAGGTGGTTGAAGAACATGCTCGTCCCGTTGCCACCCGAGCCATCCGGAAGTTTGTTGGGGATGAGGCAGCAAATCTGGGCGCAGCACTCGCACTTGGTGAGCCCACTGGAGGCGAGGTCCACGGGCGTGTAGTTGTGCGTCTTGAAGTGCGTGCAGAGCGACTTGGCTGTCTTGAAGTCTCGGGCGCAGATGGAGCAAGAGAAGGTTTGGCGAGGTGGGTTGGTGTTGGAGCTGCTGGCGGCTTGCGATCCCCCCGCCTGCTCCGCCACGTTCCCCTCCTCGCTCTCTCCTCCGACGTCCTCGTCGGACGGTTCTTCGTCGTCGTCGTGGCCACTGTAAGGCGGCGGGGGCTTGCTTCCATCGCGGCGCTTGAGGCGCTGGGAGATGGGCCCCTCGTCGATGTCGACGTCGCCCTCCGAGGTGGACTCATCCGTCGTGGTGTCGACATGCTCTGGAGGCGCAGGAAGGGCGTCTAGGAAGGCCGCACCGGCGTCTGCCGGATCGGCGTCGGCGCCGTCGTCCGCCGGGGCGATGGCGGGTTCGTGGTCGTCGCCCGTGCCCTGCTCGCCGTCGTCGGACGCCTGTCCTTGCGGTGGCGGCGGTGGCGATGGCGGCGGCGAGATCGAGCCACCTGGATCCGGTCCGGACTCGGGCGGCGGCGGCGGTGGTGGCGAGTCTGCGGCGTTGAGCTCTAGTACTTCGCGCTCTCGTGACCGAAGCTGCTGCATGCACGCCTCGGCGCCGCGAGAGCAGCCGGTCGACGTCGGCACCAAGCGCGCGGCCGCCGGGCGCCTCCGAACCGACAGGGGCGCCGCGGCAGTAGAGAGCACTCCACCGACATACCGTTTTTATGGCGGGTCAGTACCATATGTCCGCAATTTTTCCCGCCTCAAAATTCTTGCTCCCATCTTGCGCCCATCTCTTGCGCCCATCTCCTCGCCCCTCACCCCACCCTGCGAATGGCCACGCCCGACATCCGCACCGAGTGGGGCACCCAGCGGCGCCTCGCCGAGACCATGCGCCACGTGGACGACTCCGACATCGACGAGCTCATCGACCGCTTCACCCGACTCGGCGGCGGGCCTCGCTTCTTTGCCAAGTTCCACCCGCAGGCGTCGTGGCTGTGGCGGCAGTATCACGGGACGGTGCTGCAGCACACGTGGAAGCCCGCCTGCCTCGCGATGGTCCTCGCCTTTGCGACGGTCCACTACATGGAGTCTGACGGGCGCGACTGGCCAAAGTTTGGAGTGCCTCATGAGAAGGCGGTGGCGCAGCTGCTCGGCCTGGAGCGGGCGTGGAGCTACGTGCTCACGTTCGCGACCTTCATCAACTCCTTCTTCCTCTCCCAGTCGTACGGTTTCTGGCTCGCAAACAAGGGCAACACCCGCAAGGTGCAGGGCCGGCTCAACGACCTGTCCTGCCTGCTCGCCACGCACGCAGAGCGGGACGAGCAGGGCCGCTTCACCGAGCGGGCGCGCGCGCTGCTCGACGAGATGGCTCGCTGGGTGCGCCTCTTCCACATCCTCTTCTGGGCGGGCCAGGTCCGGCCAGCGCGCGCCGACGAAGGCGCCTCGCACTCTCGGCGCTGCGCCGCGCCGCCCGCAGCACGTCCACGACACGTCCGGGGACACGCCCCAAGGCGCCTCCCTCTCGGTGCTGCGCACGGACCGCGGCCTCTCGCGGCTGTGCGAGCGGGAGCACCTGACGCGCGACGAGTACGAGCTGCTCGTCGGCGAGTCGTACCGCGTCTCGGAGACGCAGCGCCACTCGGCCCTCTCCATCTCGCTGCTGTCGCCCGTTGGTGAGGCGTCCCTGGTGGCCGCCGACCCGTCCTCCGCCTCTTTTGCAGGTCGTGCTCGAGTGGATCTGCGCGCGCTTCGTCCAGGCGCGGCAGGGCGCGCTGCTGCAGGGCGGCGCCGGCATGGAGACGGTCTTCCTCGACAAGGCCCTCGCCCTCCGCGCCGTCTGCGCCTCGATCGGCGACGACGCCGCCGCGCGCATGCCTCTCGCGTACGTGCACCTGGTCCAGATCCTGGTCGACTGCCTCGTCGCGCTCGCCCCCCTCGCGCTGTATGCAAAGGTCGGCGTCTTCACCATCCCGCTGGTCGGCCTGCTCTGCGTCTTCTTCCGCGGCTTCCTCGCCCTCTCAAAGTCGTTCCTCGACCCGTTTGGCAACGAGGACTCGCTCTCCGAGAACCTGTCGGTGCACTGCCTCGTCTGCGAGGTCAACGCGGGCTCCGTCCGCTGGGCGAGCGGCATCGAGGAGCTGCCTCGCTGCGGCTACTCCCTCGCCGCGGGCAGGGGGGCGCGGCGGTGAAGCAGCCGAGGGAGAGGGGGAAGGGACGGGGCGCGAGGGCGTGCCCGCGAGTAGCCGGGACCACCACGCGGCAACCGGCCGTGTGGAGAGCTGGGGGCCCGCCGCCGCCGGCGCGCTGCAGCAAGGAACAGCCTCACCACGCGCCCGGCCCGACGCGTTGATAAATAAATAAATAAAACGGACACCTCTACAAGGAGATGGGATAAAAAGGAACAGGTCCCCGCCCTGCGGTCTTTGTGCAGGGTTCTTTGTGGGTGTGGTCGGCGACTAGCCGGGGTCGTCCTCCCGATGGGGGGGACTAGCACTAGCCGTCTTTTAGAACACATAAATTATCCCACGATGCCACGGACCGTCGATGCTATCCTGCGCAGTAGAGATCATTTAGGCTAAAAAACACAGAAAAATACTCTACACTCACAAGCCCCAACACAGAACAATGAGTGCCCCCTCGGAGAAGATCGAGCCGAGGGAAGCGGCGATCTGGTCGGGCTCGGGGTCTTCGTGCAAGACGCTGCCGACAGGGCAAAAGGAACCCGACAAGCACGACGGTGGCGGCGAGCAGAACCTCGACCAGGGTGGCGCCCGGCACGAGGGTGGCGGCAAGCACGACGGGTAACTGGCCTTGGCCGAAGCGCCAGAAGTTGCGTCACCGGTCAGTGGTGTAGCCAGCGTGATTGGCAGTTTCGCGGCGAGGCGGCGCCTGCCGGAGGGCATTGCGCGGGCGGCCACCTCGTAGGTGGCCTCATTCAGGGTGATGATACTACCCACCTGGAGACCGACGACGTAGCAATTGACGACAATCACGGTGTCGCCGGCGCTGGCGGACTGCGTCAGCTCCATCCCTGTCGGTGTCCCTGCTGAGCACTCCCATGTGTCGGACGGCGGTAGTGGCGGAGGCGAAGGGGAGATCGAAGGCGGCGCTGGAGACGGCGGAAGAGGCGGGGGGGAAAGGGGGGAAGGCGGGGGTGGCACCATGGAGTAGCACGTGTACTCCTGCGCGTGAGCTGAGGCTCCTGCCGCTGTTTGACCCGAGCTGGTGAGGTAGCGCACACAGCGCGGAAGGCCCGCATCCCTGCAGCCGTCATGGTCATTAGCAGGGCTAGCGGACCACGCAATGGCTGCGCAAGCCGCGTCGCCTTCGCTCGTCGCGAGAGTAAAGCTGAGTCGGCAGAGCGCCGTGCAATCGGATAAGGACCGGCAGTCGGTGGTGAAACCGCCGTCAAAGGTGTTAACCTCGCTTCCCTCCACCTCGCGACAGTAGCCTGTGCCAACGATGAATGGCGGCGCAAAGGGTGGTGAGAGCGGGGAAGGCGGTGGCAGCGGCGGCGGAGGAGGGGGCGAGGGCGGCGAGAGGGGCGGCGAGGGCGGCGAGGGCGGCGAGGGCGGCGAGAGGGGCGGCGAGGGCGGCGAGAGGGGCGCCCCCACCCAGTCGACGGTATTCCCGCTGGCAACGCGCTGCACGCTGGGCAGCCATCACAGACCTGCCAGCCACACACCACCGCCCACGGCTGCGGACTCTGTGCGCAAGACGGCAGGCAGGTATCGGGCCTAGGGTCCATGAAAGAGAGGCATCTGACTGTGAGACGATCGAGTGATGAGGCAGGCACACTATTGGGGTTGTGGGGCCCACTGGCGGTACCAAGCACACATCTAGCATCTGGTTGTGGTACCGGCAAATTGAAGCAGTGTCGTCCCCCCTCTCCTCGACGGTCACCGTCTTCTATGCGCACTTATTGAACAGTATGCGCACTTATAGAACAGACGTGCACGTATTGAACAGACGCGCACGTTTACATACACACACGAGACACGTAACGTGCGTGCGGGCGGCGGGGTTTGGCGCCCGGCACGCCGCCGTCGAGGTGACAGCACGTATTGAACAGTACGTGCGACATGCACGTACGTAACGTGTGCGGACGGCGGGGTTAGGCGCCCGGCGCGTCGCCGTCGAGGCGACAGCACATGGTGGGGGGCGAATGCGCGGGGTGCGGCAGCCTGGCGTGTGGGTCGTTTGCGTCAACGCGTACGTATGTCGATGGCGTAGGCTTCGCCTCGCCCTGCTATTCGCTTTCGTCGCGATGCCTGTCGCTCACAAGTACGGCTTGACATCGATGACGGTCCAGTTTTGACCGCCGAGCGAGACCTTCTCCACGTTGCCCGTCGGCAGCAGGAACGTGAGTGGCGGGAATAGGTACTCCTGCTCCGCAGGAAAGGCGGAGAGGAAGGAAATGTCGGGGCCGCGCGAGATGAACGAGTCGGTGAGGATGCGCAGCAACACCGAGTCCTTGCTGGCTGAGTAGCGCATTGCCACGCTGAGGGAGGATGTGGTCGACATGGGCGCCAGCTCGGTCCCTCCGATCTCGAGGAAGCGCTTCGGAGTTGTGACGTTCTTCATGCCGCGGTAGAGCTCAAGTGCCTGCTCCTTGTCGCCAGCCGACTTGCTAGTGCGCGCGTCCACCGCTCGCAACTTGCCGAGCGCGTCGCGTATGAGCGACACTGTCACGGGCATCGGGTGCGGCATCTTGTTCGCGAAGCGCTCGAGGTCGCGCAACGGCGCGTTGATCGACACGAAGGCGGCGGTCGTGTAGAGGCGGAGCGCCACCACGTGCGCCTTGGTCAGATTGCACTGGCGCGCGTGTGGGTGCGCGACAAAGTCGTCGATCGCCATCGGCCGCTGCCCTCCATTTCTGTCGTCGGCTTGGCGGGAGGGCAGGAGCTCTCCCTTGGCGTCGCAGTCCCGCTTTAGCCCGTCTTGGAAGGTCATGAAGCCGCACCCGCAAGATTCGTGCAGAACGTAGTTGAGGCACTCGATGTCGGCCGCTGAGCCGTGGGACGTTACCTCACGCACGATGGACTCGACCCCTGCGGCCAAGCCGGCCGCAACGTGTGCCTCCGATACACGCAAATAGTGGCAGATGCCCAAAGCCGCCGCCGCAGGCTGGCCGAGAACGAGTTCGCGTAGTGAGGCATACGCGAACTTGGTCTCTCCGTCAGGATGTGGAGGAGGGGGTGCCCACGCTTGCTTCATCCGCCTCGCAAGGCGGTCTCCATGGGCTCTACGTGTCGACCGCTCTGTGGCGCGGCGCACCTCGCGGCGAACGCATCGTCGAGCCAGCAGGGCTGCGACCGCAGTCACAAACAACACACTTCCGGCGATGACCGCAGCGACGATTTGGGCCGTGCCCACGGCCCCTCCGTCGCCCAATGCCTGTCTATTGGAAGCGTCTATAGACAGTGACGACGGCGGCGACGGTGGCGGCGATGGCGGCGATGGCGACGGTGGCGACGGTGGCGACGAGGGCGACGAGGGCAGTAGCGGCGTCGACGGTGGAGATGGTGGCGGCGAGGGCGGCGGTATCGGGAGTGGCGGAGGTGGGGAGGGCGGCGGCGTCGACGGCGGGGGCGGAGGCGCCTGGGGCATGTCCGAAGGGATCTTGGGCGGGAAGAGTGGCGCTGGCGGCGGCGGCGGCGGCGGCGGCGGCAGCGGCGGCGGCAGATCCGGAAGCAGGTTGCAGCACCTCATTCGGTAGGCGATTGTGACATTAGAAACTCGGTCCAAGACGAACATTTGGAGTGCTTCTTCAGGCCCGCATGCCACGTCGTGCTGACTGAGGACGTGATAGTTGAAGATGCCGTCGCCTTCAGTCCCATCCTCCCTCGAATCTGTGCTCGCATCCCTACAGCCTCCCAAGTCACCTGCGGAGGGCTTGGAGCAACTGAAGTCATAGTACATTTTGCGTACGCCAGGGTCGTCATCTGGAGCGTCATCCAAGCGCAGCTGGAAGCGAGAAATCACCGACCCGGAGGCGCACTCCACCACCAGACGTGTCAGGCGGACATACACTTTGCCGTATCTGACGGATTCCGTTCTGCTCGTTTCGTATTGCGCAGGTGTGGTGTCTGTCATACCTCCGATTGTTGTTGGCGTGGCGCATCTGTACTTGTACTGCATCAGAAGAGGCTCCGTCCCGTACACGAAGAGCTGGAACTGCTGCAACGCGTAGCTGTTGGCGCAGGCGACGCAATGTCGGTCGAGGTAGTGAAAGTCTCGCTGAGGCCATCCCGAATCTTGTTTGGCTGTTTCGGCGTAATTTATAGAGATCGATGGCGGCGGCGAGGGTGGCGGTGAGGGCGGAGAATCGCATCTCTCCAGGCCATCCATCGTGCAGCACTGCATCTCAATATCGTTCATCGCGCCTTGATCATCCTCGAGTCGCATTCGGAAGCCGCAGATCGCACTTCCAGGCGGGCAAGAGACTTGATCCGACCAATCACCGCTGCCAGCATCCGTGTCGGGAGAAGTCGTGGACCCGCAGTACATCCGCACAGCATTGGCGGCAGTGTCGTTGTTGTTCTTGATGGCAAAGCCGTCAAAGGCAACCCGGCCAGGGCAATAGGTCCATTTCCCCCAGTCACCATAAAAGCCGTCGTGCGACCAAATAATCTCGCCATCGGTGCACTTCATCTTCACAGCATTCAGACCCGACCCCGGGCCCCAGTTGCCGCCGGGATCAAACCTCTGCTGCATCTCAACAGCAAACTCGCCAGCAGCGCACAAGCCCCACACTCGCCAGCTTCCCTTCGTGTGTTCACCCTTTGGCGTCGCCTTCAAGTTCATAGGGATGAAGCAGCCTTCTGGCAGTGGCTGAGGCACGGCAGCCAGCAGCAAAGCGACTACCATCGTGCCACGCGGCGACTGGACGAGGAGTCGTCGGAGGACACAAAGGACAAAAAAAGAAAAATATGGGCGGAGAAGAATTCTTAAGATACAAGCCTCTCTCACAGCACACTGGCACGACAAGGGCGCGGACTGGCGCGGACTGGCACACACACCGGCTCACCGGCGGAGAAGAAAACGTGCGACTTACCAAACAGGTTCTCGAGGTTCTCGAGGTGGATATCCTTTGGCCGCGTTGGGTAGCGCTACCAAACAGGACTCTTGGTTCAGTGGGCGTCAGAAGAGTCGTCCTTGCGTGAGGAGAGCTCGATAAACTCGAGGGGCCAAAATATGCGCCGCGAGGAGGGCAGAGCTGCGCCGAGCAGCGAGAGAGCAAGGGAGCGGCAGGCGGCGGCGCCGTCGCAGGACGAGGCAGAGGAGAGCGACGCGACAGAGGAAGAAGCGACAAGAGAGAGAACGACGAGAGTGGGACGACCGCGGGGTGGCATGAAGGTCGCAGCGTCGCCCCCACCGTTCTCCACCTCCACCCCTCACCCTCCCCCCCGCCCTACCGAACCACCCACCGCCCACCCACGCCAACTTCCGCCCTCCCGCCGCCCCCTCCCCCCTTTCTGCCCCTCCGCCTTCACCATCCCCCATCTGTGCATTCCACTCCGTTCGCTCCCTCCCGCTTGGCGCCCATCCCGCCCTCCGCCCTCGCCCCCCGCCCCTGTCCTGGCTGGCCTGGGTGGCATCTCCTCATCATCACGCGCCAGGCGGGAGGGAAGTGGACGGGGCCTGAGCCGACCTAGCCCTAAACGGAATGGGGCGCCCAACACGTGCCCGGATTACTGTGCCTTCCCCGGGTGCAGCCTTTCGGTTCGTGAAGGGTCGGTGCGTGTCGTGACCCCCTGGAACACCCGTACCCCCGCACCATCTCCGTCGCTTGGTTCCATAACCTCTGCCACCACCGGGAGGCGGCCAGGGCTTCATAGACTCGGTCGAGAGACCCCAGATTGGCATCCATGCCTCTCTGGACAGGGTGGCAAAACAAAACAAACAGGGCTCCAGGCCCCAAATTACGTGTGAGTGTTAGAGTTGTTTGGTATTGCTAAAAATCTCTCTCTCTCAGGGTGGCCCGCCACAAGGACCCCAGGAATTGCGACTCGCCGCTTTCCTCCCGCTGTGATTCTGTGTGAGCTCTGTGTCTTGATTTGCCAACAACATACCTACAACGATTTCATGAGTGGCAGCAATGGGAGTCGCTTTCACGACACGAAAAGGGCGTGAACTGGCGCGCACACTCACCACCTAAATCATTTCGGTGTAGGGGGACCGCTCTCTGGCATGCTCAACCTGGCCACCAGCCTCGCTTTTAGCATTTTGTCGACTCGTTTTAGCACGCTCGGTGTTGAGCACAGCTCTCTTCGCTGTTCCCGCATCACAGCGGAGTCGCCGCCCATCGGCCGACTCAGCTCGCTGCTCACCGATCTCGGCTCCTCCGACTGGCAGCCCCTCCGCCCGCGCTCTTGTCTCGCAAACCCATGCTTCGCCTCGTCGCTGCTGACGAGCTTCAGCGTGAGCGAGGCGTGCCGGCGTGGCGTCTACGTGCCGTTCGGCATTGGGCCGACGGCTGTCCTTGCGTCCTCCGTGATCTACTGGTCCAACCCTATCAAGGAGAGCCTGCGCCGCACAGTCGACCTCTTCGCGGTGCGAGTCGGCATGGCGGTGCAGGTCCTCCTTGCGTGGCGATACTGCAGTGGGCGAGCTCTCCCGCTTATACTCGCCGGATACACTGCCGGCGGCGCCTGCTACGCGTGTGGTCGCATCCTGACCGTGCGAGGAGCGGTGCTCGCTGGTCACCGCGTGCACTGCGGGGTGCATGTCTTTGCAAACTTGGGCAACCTACTCATACTGCCATACGTCGTCTAGGCGCGGCTCACCCAGCTCCCAGGGTACGGTGAGGCTGAGGGGTGAGGCGAGCACCGAGCAGTGTGTGCACAGCGTGGAGTTGGACCAGTGACGCAGTCGTGTATCTCTCGTCCATGTCAGTGCGTGTGATCTGTGCGCGAGCACATGAGCCATGAGACTGTATTGCCGTCTATCCAATCACACAATTCGAAGTAACCCGTACGCTGACAACACCGCATCACATGCCAATGAATAAAACCACACAGAAACGAAAAGCGACATATAGTCACCGCCGGCCCGCGGCCGGGGCCGCGCCGGTAAAAAACGCTCGCTCCACCGCTCAATCGTCCGCATCTCCGCCCGCCCCGCCGCGCGAGCGCTTCTTCTCCTCGAGGCCCTGCTTCACGTACCGCTTCTTGCGCACCTGCTTGGTGGCCGCCGCCTTCTCGCCCTCCTCGCGCGCCGCCTTCTTGGCGTGCGCGGCGCGGCGCACCTACGGGACGCGTCCACGGCATGTCGGAGGCTCGTCCGGGACACGCCGTCCTTCTCGACGCGCCGCGGCGCGCCTCCATGGAGCGCTTGCGCTTGCGCTCGCGCTCGTTGTACATGGTGTGCACCTGCTGCATCAGCTTGGCCGCCGCGCGCTCCTCCGGCTCCGCCACGACGGCGCGCAGCGCCTTGAGCGACCCCTTGCGCGGCTTCTTCGCGGCGGAGGGAGCGTCGAGCTTCGGCTTGGACTTGTACGGCAGCGCGGCCTGCAGCGCCTTTGGCACGGCCAGCTTGTTGAAGCGGCGCGGCGCGCGCTCGATGGGCTTGTACAGCGAGTCCGCGTTGACGCGCGGCGCGGCGCCCAGCTCGGCGCGCACCTGCTCGCGGCGGGAGGTGGGAGTGTGAGTGAGGAGGCGCCGCTCGCGGCTTGAACTCGTCTCTTGAACTCGTCTCTCAGCTCGGCGCTGCGCCTCGGCGCCCGTGCGCATGCGCAGCCAGCCGCGCCCGTGCGGCGCGAGCAGGTTGGAGACGGGGTTGTACAGCGTCGGCAGCGGGACGGGCACCCAAGCCTTGAGCAGCACGAGGTCGGAGCGGAGCAGCTTGTCCTCGAAGGTTGCGCGGAACGTGCCGTCGTCGGCCTGCAGCGCGCGCTTGACCTGGCCGCGCACGCCCGAGACGGTGCGGAGGGCGGCGCCCTCGAACTTTGCAACCTCGAGCGCGGAGGTGAACATGTCCTTGATGAAGGCGGTGTTCTTGAAGACCTTGAACGGCGAGCCGACCAGCTTCAGCTTCTTGACCACCTTGAGGTTCGCCGCGACCTCGAGCACGACGCCCGTGGCGGAGATGCGGAAGCTCTTGCGTGCGTCCGTCTGGAAGCAGAGCACGCCCGTGTTTGGTGGCACCTGCAGCCGAGCCGGCGGGGCCCCCGCTCAGAGGAGAGTGGGGCGGGGGCGGGTGCAGCGTGGCCGTCGCGCGTGGCCGTCGCCGCGGCGTCCGCGCCTGCGGCCCGTGGAAGGCTGCGAGGCAGTGCATGTGCTCGGGCGTGTACTTGATGTGCCGCAGCCGCAAGTTTGGGTCCTGGACGTAGTAGAGCGGCAGGCTCTGGAAGCGGCGCCAGCCGACGGAGAAGGTGAGCGGGTCCTGCGACTTGAGCACCTTCTTGTGCCTACGCCGGGGCGGTTCGGAGGAGGCTCAGAGACAGCTCCTCTGCAGCACGACGTGGGAGCGACTCCTCGTTGCCAGCGGTGCTTCTTGACGCGCATCGAGACGAGGCCCAGCCGCTCCTCGCCCGATAGCAGCCCCCCGAGGACGAGCGGGAAGCGCGGCTCGAAATTGCGCGGCAACTCGCACGGCACCTGACGCACGCGCCGTGGACTAGTCAAGGACGGGTCGTGGACGTGTCCGTGGACGTGTCCACCCGGAGGAGGTGGCGAGGCGCCTGCGTGAGCACCACGCGCACGTACGAGCCCGGCGCGTAGCCCTGCACCGCCGCGCGCTCGTCCGGAGGCAGCGAGGCGAGCGACTCAGTCAGCTCTCGGTTCCTCCTCCGCTGCTCCGCCTGCTGCCTGCGCTGCTCGACGATCCACGGGTCCTCCTCGAAGAGCTCCTGTTCACAGCTGCAGGTGTGAAGAGAGTCTCTTCACACCACCATGCCCGCCTCCTCCTCGAAGAGCTCCTGCCCGGGCCGCAGCGCAGACGTGCCGCTGCGGCCACGGCCGCCGCCGCCGCCGCCGCCGCCCTCCTCCTCCTCCTCGCCCTCCTCGCCCTCCTCGCCCTCCTCGCCCTCCTCACCCCCGCCCTCTGCGTCGCCGTCGTCGTACCCCGAATCGAATCGAACCTTCTTCTGAAGCTTGCGCTGCCGGCGCGCCTCCGCCTCGGCCGCTTCCGCCGCCTCCGGGTCGTCGTCCTCGCCGTCGCCGCCCCCCTCGCCCGCCACCTCGCCAGTCTCGAGGTCCTCAAACCCGCCCTCGTCCGACCCGCACTCGCTGCCTCCCCCGTCGGCGTCGGCGCCACCGCCGGCTCTCGCGCCCCAGTCGCCCGTGACGAAACGGTCAATCACGCTCTCGCGCTGCTCCGGCCCGGTCCAGTCGCGGCGCGGCGCGCGGCGCTGCGGCGGCCGCGAGCAGTCGAGCGCGGCCGCGTCGTGCTCGAACCCTTCCCAGAGCGGGTTGAGCGGCCCGAGCGAGCCGAGCGAACCGACGCCTACGGGACGCGTCCGGGACGGGTCAGGGGCGCGTGCCGCGGTGCGAGGGGCGCGTCGGGGACGTGTCGGCCGCGCGAGTCGAGGCCTCCGCCGGAGCCGCCGGAGCCCTGCCGGGCGGGACGGCGAGCGCGCTGCGCCTCCCGTGCCGCGAGAGTCCCCTTGGGGAGCAGGAGCTCCTCCTCCTCCTCCCCCTCCTCCTCGCCCTCGCCAGCTGCCGCAGCGGAGGCCTCGCCGCCTCGCACCGCCCCCGCACCGCCGCCTCCGTACACGAGCTTGCCCCAATCGGTCCTCCGCGCCGCGTGCGCCGCCGCCGCCCGCTCGGCGAGGCCAAGCTTCCACTCCGCCCCCTCCTCCTCCTCCTCCTCCTCGCCCTCCTCCTCGCCGCTGTCGCTGCCGCCCTCCTCGCCGCTGCCCTCCCCTCCCTCCTCCTCCTCGTCGTCGTCGTCGTCGTCGTCGTCGTCGTCTTCGCTGCCCTCCTCCGCCAGGCCCCCCTCGCCGTCGCCAGCGTCGCCACCCTCCCACATCGACCCCTCGGCGCCAGACTCGTACGCGAGCGCCCGTGCGCGGCCCAGCCCAGCCGGCAGCCCAGCCGGACCGGCCGCGTCATCTCCGAACTGGACCGGCCTGCGCACGCGACCGCCGCCCTGGCCCTCGCCCCCGCCCCCGCCGCCCTCGATCGCCGCCCCTCCCGCGAAGAGCTGCAGGCTCGCCCCTCGCAGCTGCTCGTCGAGGCCGGCCGCCTCCCCAACCCGCTGCAGCCCTTTGACCATCGCCACGTCCTCGCCGCCAACCTCGCCGCCCTCCTCGCCGCCGCCGTCGCCGCCGCCCTCGCCCTCGCCGCCCTCGTCCTCGCCCTCGCCCGCCACCCCCTTGCCCTGCGAGAAGCGGATCGCGCTGTCCGGGATGTTGACGTACACCGCGTCGCGGTCGTACGTCAGATCGCCTAGGCCGCACCAGACACCGGCGAGTCGAGGGGGCGCCCGCCTCCAGCCTCGCGCCGCCGCACTCCGAGGCTGCTGCCCAGGTTGGACATCGGCGCGTACAGCCGCTTGTCCTTGGAGTCGAGCCGGCGGCGGGTGGTGCGGTCGGGAGGAGCGCACGGGTCGTCGAGCGCACTCACCTCGGACATGGCGAAGTCTCCGACCCCGGGGAGGTGGACGCGCATGCCTGCTCACGGCCCGAGGGGGGTGTGGGGGCGTGGGGAGACGCTGTGCACAGCTCGAGGGCGGGAGGTCGCGAGCCTGGGAGGAGGAAGGTGCCTCGCACCCAGCCGTACATGCTCACCGTCCGCTCGACGAGCTCGTCCTGTCGGCGGGGTGGATGGCGCGGGTTGGATGGCGCACCAGTCAGGAATCGCATCCGCTCGGTGGCGGCCCCCGCTCGGCGAACACTATCGGCGAACACGATCGGCGGATCTGCCTCGCGAGAGCGGGAACCTACTCCTCTCGGTCCTCATCTCGTCCCATCTCGGCTACTCCGGACACCCTCGCAAGGGCGGCCGGCTCGGTGACGTCCTCGAACCGGTCGGCGAGGACGAAGGGGTGGGTGTTGCGCCTGCGTGGGGGTGGTGGGGTTGGGGTGTGGGGTCGGAGGCGCGGAGGCGGAGGGGCAGCGAGAGGGGCGTGAGGAGGGAGAGGAGGGAGAGGCGTGAGGAGGGTGAGGCGTGAGACGAGGGAGAGGAGGAGAGGCGCGTGGCGCGTGGCGTGTGGCGGCTAGCGGGTGGCGTGTGGAGCGCGCCAGATGAGCGGGCGGAACTTGATCACCGCGAGGAAGCGGGCGAGGTTGGTGATCTCGGCCTTTGGGTAGCGGCCGTGCTTGAGCCCCGACAGGTAGAAGAGCTTCGCGCCGTCGTAGATGTCCGTCCAGAACCGGTGCTTGAGCGTCTTTTTGGCGCGGCGCAGCGCCGCGGCGTTGGTGAAGGAGTCGAGGTGCGTGAGCACGCCCATCACGCGCGGGAAGCCGTGGACCTGGCACATGTTGAGGAACTCGAAGGTCTCCATCTCGAACCCGTACGCGCCGTCCACCACCAGCAGGACAAGGTCCGCCACCTGACACACGGAGGCGACAGCTCAGCGGCCGGCGGCCGGCGGCTATGGCGGCGGCGGCGGCGGCGGCCGTCGCCTTGGCGAGATCGCACATCGCGTTGAGGTCGTTTGGGCACTCTATGAGCGTGACGCGGCGGGACTTGCCTGTCACCACCGTCACCGGCCCGTGCGTCTCCTTGAGGTTTTGCTTGGTCCAGTGCTTGACGAGCGAGCGGATCACGGTCGACTTTCCGACGCCGGCGGGACCGACGACGGCGACGACGATGGGAGGCTGCACCGCCACCTCGACCGCTCGGTCAGTGAGCGCCACGTGGTACTGCCGCTCCTGCTTCTCGAGCGCGCGGTGCGCCGAGCGCTGCATGGCCTTTGGGCCCGACGCCGCCTTGAAGGCTCGCGGGTTGTTGCGAGCGTTGCCCTTGCCGCGCGAGGCCGTGCGAGCGGCGGCGCCCTTTTTGGCTTTGGCGCCCTTGGTGGGCATCTTCTTGGCCATGGCGAGGCGGCCACGCAGAGGCAGCGAGGCAGCGACCCCGCAGCGAAAGCAAGGCTGCCCTCGTGCCGCGACCACCACTCCCTCGAAGAGTTCTTTTCTTTCTATTACGGTACAGTAGAGCCTGGCTTTTCCTCACCTTGCCGTCCTCCCATCCCTCCCTTGCTTGTCTGTTTTCTTTCTTTCTTTTACTGGGCACGGGACTGGCGCGCACTGGCACTAACACAGGTGCTACACCACCAAAAAGAGAATTCCCGGTGTCGTGCAAAAAGAGAATCTCACATGGGAAGCGATCCCACGACAGCGACTGTGGGGATTATATGATCCGTACATGAAGGGTGGAGGGGCCGTCCGCGGAGCTAGGCGCGCGTAAGCCGTTTGTGGCTTGTTCTTGACCCAATTGGCACGCTCGGTCAGGGGAGTTGACCCAGCCAGTTGGTACGCATCTTGCGCGCCTCAAAAAAACTTTAATTTTATCGTACAATGGAAGAAACTTGTTTCTGTAAGGTACCCACTCTCTCCCCTTGGCGGTGCTGGCAGTTGAAATCCGGTTCACTCGCCCGGGGCACTAATCCACAACCGCTGCCGTACGTCCGGTTCACTCTCGGGGCACAATGCTGCCCTGTGGATGCGAGCACTTCTGCTGCGGCATTTGCGAGCACGCGGCTCGCGCAGGGCGCCCGCGCCTCTTCACGCGCGAGAGCGCGGCGCAGTGGGACCCCCCGAACCTCACCGACTACCGTGGCGCTGACAAGCTCGAGGCCCGCAACGGCGACAGCGGCGAGCCAACAATGTGGTTCTGGCAGATGACAGGTACGCGCTGGCCGGCACACGACAAAAGGGAGAGCCGCACGACCTTTAACACGGCCACGAAGGCTTGGCGTCGCCTGACCGCCTCCCAGGAGGAGCGGTCAGCAGAGACTGCGGCTCGCTACGATCGAGAAGATGCCAGGCTGGAGCTGGAGGCAGCAGAGGAGCTGCGCGTGGTTGAGGAGGAGCAGCGCGTGCTCGAGGAGAAGTGCAAGCAGGAGGCGCGCGAGCAGCAGCAGCAGCAGCGACGGCGCCGGGCCGAGGAGGCGGCCTCGCGCGTGCACGCCGCACGCAATCGTGTGCGCGAGCTGCCGATGCGCCCACGTGATGCGTCGCCGCGGATCGCGCTGCTGGCCGCGCTGCGGGGCGTCACAGGGAACCGCCTGTGCGACTGGGCGTGGGTCGAATCGGATCCGATCGGATCGAGCCGCGTCCGTTATTCGGTGAGGGACTCATCGCCCCGGCTCGAGCTGCCTCTCGACGAGCCCGACGAGATGATGGCGCGGATCGTTGCCGCGTCGGGCAGCGACGAGCGGCCGCCGTGGGCAGACTGGTGGCCGTCGCCGAGCGAACTGGTCGGCAATCCGCTGCTGGCGGAGAGGGCTCGCGCCTGGAGCCTGGAGAGAGGGCGCTCGCCAGAGCCGGAGCCGCGCGCGACGACGTGGGCGCTGCAGCAGGTGATCGCCGCGCGACGCGGGTGGGATGGCACGTGGAGCGGCATGCACGTGAGCGGCGGCGAGGAGACGGAGAGGAATGCTTTCCGCTGGCGGCGTGACACGCTGCGGCTGCGCTTCATCGAGTGCTGCCTGGCTCCCACCGCGCTGCCCGCACTGCTCGACGAGCCGGACTTGCCCGACTCGCTGTGGGAAGCGGAGCCGGGCTCGATCAACGACGAGGAGCTGGCGATGCTGGAGCGATGGGAGCGGGTGGATATGCACAACGAGCTGCTGCGCGAGTACTCCTTCTGCTACAAGCTCTTCTTCACTGCATCAGCAGCGGCGGCTGCGTCGTTGCCACCGCTCGCCCCGGGTGCGCATGCGTGGGCGGCATCAGTGCTGCGGCAGGCCGCGTGCGGAGAGCGCGAGCCGCTCAAGCTGGTGGGTGGCAAGTGGGCCTGCGACGTGCATGTCTCGTCCAACTTGAAGCTCGCGCTCGAGCCGCTGCCGCCGCGGTTCACCTACCCGGTGGCGACGCTCCCCGCTGCGATCGCCGCCATCGGCGAGGCGTGCAACCGCAACCGGTGGAGCTCGTGGCCGCCGCGCAGCCACTGCGAGTCGGAGCTGCCGCCGGCGCCGTGCGTGCAGGAGCTCTCGCGCTACTTTCAGGGCTCGTTCACCGCGGCGAGTACCGGCATCTGGGACAAGTCCAAGCTCTTCCCCGCCTCCTTCGACTTCCACGGCGGCTATCCGCAGCGACATCCCGCCCGTGCGGTGCCGACGCACCTGCCGCAGCCTGAGCACCGCACCGTCAGCCGCGTGAGCCTCAACCTCTCGGTGTTCCTGCGCACGCGAGGCTCGCACTGCCGTGCCGATTGCGGCGAGATCGTTGGCGGCTCGTTTGCCGACGATAACTTCCCTTCTACGCACCCACCATACCCACCAATCGAGCCGCGCTACCACTCGAAAGATGAGATGCAGCGCTTCTACTCGGCGGCGTTGCGCGGCATGCAGTGTGATTGCCAAGGGAGACTCGCGACGCCCGACGATCCCGGAGCATACGCGCGTCATTCTTTCCGTGCGAGAGCCGCGCGAGTGCCGCCCGAGCCGCGCCCTCCTCTGCGCCGCTGCTCGCTCGAGTGCTGCCGGTGCGACGACGTGCAGCATGAGCTGCCTCCAGCGAGCGCAGATGCTGGAGTGGCTGCGGTTGCCAACTACATTGCTGCGCGGAGAGCGGAGCTGCAGAGACGAAAAGCAGAGATCGCCGAGGAGAAGCGGAAGCAGGAGCAGGACCAGAAGCGGAAGCAGGCTGCGGCGGATGCGCGGAAGCGAAAGCGCGAGCGCGAGGACGAGCTGATTCGGCTACAGCTCGAAGAGAGGCACGAGCGGCTGCGAGAGAAAGAGCGAGCGAGGCTGCGCGCGAGATACGGAGATGCATGGAGCGAGGGCGCTCCCGAGGTGCCCTGTGCTGTCGCTCTGTCCGTGGAGAGGGAGGGGGAGGGCTCTATCGAAGGGCGTAGCTGCGGACCGAGTTCCGGGCCCGCAGAGGAGCCTTGCTCGGAGGGGCCTCTCTACGCTCTCGGCCTCCCTCCTGGGTTTGACGACAGCGTGGTGCCTAGTGCTTGCTGAGCAGATACTACGCTATGTGGTACTGTGGAAACTTAAATTTCCTCCATTGTACCCATGCGGAGCCTTTTATTTGCTCGCGAAACACTCGTGTATGTTCTTGCACGTGTGCAAGATTGGGCCTCTTCTGCCGCAGTCCCTTTGATGGGCGGCCCCTGGGTGGGGGCCACCTCGAACCCCCTAGCCAGGGCTTCGAGTGGAGGGTGCCCCGGATTCACCTATCCGTCGCGCCCCGGTACCTTCATTAGAACTGATCACGTTGCGCAAGCAGCCGTCCCTTCGCCGACTGGACGGCGTGCGCTACGCTGTCGCTCTGTCGTGCACAGTTCTCGTGCTTCGTTGTGACGCGGGAGTAAGGTCGAGAGGCAGCCCTCGACGAGACGACCTTCGCCGCGATGCCGGACCTCGCCGCCGCCGAGCTCAGCATTCCGGCCGAGCAGATCCCCGATCCCGCAAAGCCACTGGTGGTTCCCGTCGACACCACAGTGGTGTCCTCTGAGCTCCTCTACTCGGGGTTTCATTCCACTGGCCGACAGTGGGCAATCCAGCCCTACTCAACCTCGCCGCTCCTCCTCCAGGGATGCAAGCGTCGTGGGTCCAGATTCCTCAGTGGGGGCCGCCATTAGTGGCTCCTCCCGTTTGTAGAGCTGGAACCCGCTACAGCCCCGTACTTTGAGAGACTCAGTGTCCTGCAGCTGTCCATCTCAGCCGCGTCGTGGCGCCGCGTCCTCGGTGCTTTGGCTGACCTCGGTGTGTTCGGCGCAGTGCATATACACATATGTGGATGAGGACGCATTCCGGACGGCTTGCGCCCAGGCACTTCTCTCCCGTCAAATCCCCGTGCCCGAGCTCTTCTTGCAGTGGGGCGATTTGGGACCATCCGAGGCGGTCGCACCCTTGGGGCCAGCTCCGTATGACCGTATCTGCGGAGGCAAAGACCGTCGACTTCCTGCAGTACGTGTCGGTCGCGTCTCTTTGTGACCCTAGCTACGGCCGACGTCCCGTTCGCGCCCCTGTCTGACCTGACCCGCTGCCTGGGACCCGTCTTCACTGCGGTGGTCCGCGCGGGCACCGATCCCCATGGCGCATGGGGAGCGTCGTCGTGGGCCGGGGCAGTGATGAGAGGGCGAAAGGGTGCAATTCTCTGTGTTTCTCGTGTTTCGAGCGCATGCTCGAAAGAAAAAACCGCGCGGAGAAGTGAATCGACCAACACAGCCGGCCCGCCAGGGGCTGCCGTATTTCTGATTTTTTGTGTTATTTGTTTGTTTGCGGAGCGAGGCAGATATGTGCAATACACAAAATAACTTAAAAGTGTGCGTCCCGCAAGGAGAGCTCTACGACCTCCCCCGCGGCTCCCCACTGACAGCTCCATGCACCCAGCCCCATGCAATTCACTCCCCCTCACATGATGATTAATGCGCACATGGCGGAGACGTGTGGTTGCGACCAGACCGCGCTCCCAGGCGCGGCGCCGCCGGCGACGCCAACAAGCGATTACCAAGTGCCAGGTCCCTGGTAGCAGACGTCAAACTTGATGTCGTCGATCGACGGATGCGTGAGGGTCTTGCATTCGCCGGGGGCCAACGAGATGTCTGTGCCAATCTCGCACTGCGTCTCGCCCTGGTCGCAGGCGCCGTAGCCGATGTGCAGGACGTCAAAGGAAGCCAGCAGCGACTTCATGATCCGCAGGTAGGGCACGGTGTAGCCCTGGTGCAGCGGGCAGCCGCGCAGCCGCAGGAAACCCACATCGTTGTGGGCGGTCTCTCCATCCAGCTCAAGGGTCAGGTGGCAGGTGCCGTCCTCACAAAAGTGGAACGTCTCCGAGTCGCCCGCCGCAGAGTTGACGTAGAATGGGCGGATGTGCTCCTTGCCGGTGGAGCCACAGCCAGTATTGGACGGGGTCACGGTCAGCTTGATGTGGTCGCGGAGGTGAGGGTCAAAGTACAGCGGGTTCGACTCGTAGGCCCCGACGGCGTCGTTCGAGAGGCCCGCTGGGATCGAAGCCAGCGCCTCGCCGGTCGTGATGGGCTGGGTGACGCCGGCGTGCGACGTGTCTGCGCTTGTCTTGGCGACGGGCGCGGCGGTAGCAGCGTAGATGAGGCAGAGGACCATGGAGGCAGAGGTAGAAAAGGATCGAGAGAGTTTCGACCTCAAGGTGGTCGGCCAACCCAGCTTCTCCTTGACAAAAAAAGATACGCTGTCCGCTCCTCGGCCCTGGGTGTGGGAATGCAGAGCGTGCAAAGCGGCTAGGGATGAGGCCACAAAAGAGGCGCGCGAGGCAAGGAGGAGACGCGGGGAACTGAAAGACTGGGACGACTGGAAACAAGAAGACAGTGAGCCACCACAGGCGTCGTTGGCGCACATACTGAGCGGCAGCTGCGCTGGAAATAAGGAAGAGGCGCGTCACTTCATGCGGAAGCTCGACAAACACACAGCGAGGGCGACAGCAAGAGTTGAACGGGAGGCGCCGGACTCAAAAGACACCGCCACATTCCTGAGACGAGCGAGGGCAGCCTCCTTAAAGGCGAAAGGGTCTAGATTTGGAGCGCTCGCCGAAGAGGAGTACGACAAAATAGCGCCCGTGATTGCCTGCACGCTACCCGCACTCACGGACTCCATACCCGAAAGAAAGAGAAGGGAGCTCGCGGGAGAGGTGACGAGTGAACTACAGGTAGTGGGGAAGGCAGCCTCGATTGCCATACAGACATGGGTGCGAAACAACGACAAGACCAGGGCACGGGCAGAGGAACGAGAGAAGAATATAGGGTGGATAAAGCGCCTGTTCACGGCATGGAGGGTGAGCCACGCCGAACGTACCGAGCGGAGAGCCGAGCGGAAGGAGGACGGGGAAGATGACTCCGAGGAGGACGAACCAGTGGAAATCCAGTTGTCAGATGTCACGATGCATCCGAAGGGGACCCCAGCGCCGGCATCATCCGTAGAGGCACGAGTGTTCGAAGAGAGAGTGGACCTGAGCAACAACATGACTTGGAGGCAAATGATCGGAGTGGGAGTCAGAAATGTGGTCCTTGCGCGAGGGGAGCTCGATAGACTCGAGGGGCCAGGATACGCCGCGAGGAGGACGGAGTTGCGCCGAAAGGCGAAAGAAGCCGCGAGAACAAGGGACCGGCAGGCGGCGGCGTCACAGGACGAGGCAGAAGAGAACGACGCGACAGAGGAGGAAATGACAAGGGAGAGAACGACGAGAGTGGGACGACCGCGAGGTGGCATGAAGATTGCAGCGAGAATCGGCGAGAGACTGCGAAGAGAGATAGGAAGAGGCAGACTCCCTAGGGTGGGCGACGGCTAGCGCACCACACACCTCTCCTTAAAATCCCTGTGTGGTGGCGGCGCGCCGTCCTCCCATCCCTCCCTTGGGTTGTCTGTTTTCTTTCTTTCTTTTTTGGGTGTGAGGTTGCCGACTGCACTCCAAGTTTTAAAAACCGAACAGGCAAGGCCAAGGGAGAGAAAGAAATCGTAAAGAAATCGTAAATCGCAGAACTCTCTCTCGCAACAACACTTGCACGTACGTACAACCCCCTCTCCCTTCTCTCTCGCTTGCTTGTAACATACTTGTGGGTTGTTAGGCATTGTGGGGTTGGCACTCCCATCGACCCTGCCTCATGAGGGTCATGACCTCCTGCGGTCTCTGAGATGGACACCAGTGGGTGTGGGACCACAGCCAGGATACACTCGAAGGCTGGGTAAGCAGTAGAGGTCGACGCGTCCCACATGGTATGTGTCGCTGTCGGCACGCTGTCGACAGGACGTCGAGCGACACCGGTGGCAGTGCCACCCAGGAGTGGTCGGGCGGTCTCCCGTCATGAGAGAGCCACCATGTGATCCGTATGATGGTTCCTGACAACCGCCTCAGTCAACTTTCGTCACAGTTCCCGCTCTGAGAGGAGCTGCGGGTCAGTTCGACAGCTGGAGCTGTGTCGCCGGCGTGCGGCGGCCTGCCTCCGGAGGTGCCTCTGAGGTGGACATTTTTTGGTCACCGCGAGAGAACGCGTTCGAATTTTCACTCCGGAACTTCAACTGAGCACGCGCACCGGCCAGGGCTACAATAGTGCCAGTGAGGCGGAGGCGCGAGTCGGAAGGCCGCGACCGTCAAGAGAAGCCTTACTGCGGTCGCCACGCCCGCGCACTTGAGCCAGCTAGTGTTCCCTTCGTTTTCCTACAATCGCTGTGAACCCAGCCACGTAGAGAGAGAGAGCATCAGCAACCATGATGCATGTCGTAGAGCGGGGAGGGTGCAGGAGAGAGAGGGGCGCTTTAGTAAGCGTTGATTTGCATGACAGTACGATTGACCACTGTTACACAGTCTCGAACAGCAGTCGATCGATAGAGGCCTCTCGCAGTCGCACGCACACCCAAACGTCTCACACTCCTACCCAACCGTTTTGTGGCTCCAGCACTCCACATACGTCAGTCTCACCACTGATGCCTCGGCACGGTATCGCGGCGAGTCGCTGCCGCGCACGACGCGCGCGTCTCCCTCAAACGCCATCGCACACACGTATCACGGTTGTCCGACAGTGCCAGCAGCGCGGCCTCAGCTCGCGACAAAGGGCGGCTGTTTGGAGCTCGTCCACCCCGCCGCCGGGCCCGTCCGGTTGTGCACAAGAGGCGGCGCGTCCTTGGTGGACGTCTTGCCGGCCGGGTGGTTTGGCGTGTAGGACGGGTTCGGACCCAGGCGCGGGGAAAAGTCGACCGCCCAGCCCCCGCAGTGATTGACCTGCACGAGCGGCGACCACCACTCGCCCGGGTGCGCTGGGTCGCCAGCGCCGCCCTGCGACGGCGGCGGACCGCTCCAGTGCAGCGGCTCCTGGCACGGCTCGCAATACGTCCACCAGAAGCGGACGACCGGGTCGGCGGCGACGCGCGCCATGTCGGCGTCAAAGTCTGTGCCGACGTAGATGAACTGATGGAACATCATGTTCGTGGTGGGATGAAACCACACGACGAAGTCGCGCATGTTGCTCGCATACATTCTCGCCATCACCTCCTCCCACGTTTTGTCGTGCAGCTGCTGGTACTGCTCGATCAGCTCGGGCCGGGCGCGAATCATGCCAGCGTGGTACGTGCCTCCCCGCAAGCGTCGCCGCCGAAGCCGATCGAGGATCGCAAAGGCGGCAGCGCCGGCGGCGGCGCCGAGGAGGAGTGAGCGGCACTCCATACACACGTTTTGAACTTTCGGCGAGGTCGTTGTCAGAGAGAGTTGTTGTTGTTGTCGTCGTCACAGCAACCGCTGGCGAGGGAGTCGTCGAGAAGCTGCCTCCAGGGTTCCGGCTCCTACCCAGATAGGGGGTCTGCCGGCTGGCCCCTCCCAGATAGGTAGGTAGGTTGGTCTTGTTTGGCCCAAAAGGGCCCTGCAATAGGTAGGTACCGCCTCTTTTCATCTTTTTTCGCTTCGCTGCGCGGCCTGGGGATAGGTAGGTAGGTAGGGCGTTTTGGCGCGAGTCAGTCCCAACAGACCCCCTATCCGGGTAGGAGCCGGAACCCAGGGCCGCCTCAAGGGCAACGCAGGTCGATTTCTTTTTCACTATTTCACTTTTGGTTATAGCAGATCAAGGCATTACGTGTGAGTGTTAGAGTTGTTTGGTATTGCTAAAAATGATCTCTCAGAGCTCACACAAATCACAGGTGGACTGTGTGACTCCTCGGTTTCTGGCGACTCTTGACGTAGTCGGTCGGTAATAAATAAATAAATAAAATGCTTTGCCAAGAACAGACCTAAAAACAAAATAAAACGGACACATAAATAAATAAATACAACGGACATCCCAAGCTAGGGCTGGGTCGAGGACAGACACGTCCCCACCTTTGCAGGATTTTGCAAAAGCGAGGGGGGAGGGCGCATCGCCGCGCGGAGAGGGCTGGGCACAGGGCACAGGGATCTCTCTCGTATAGGATATGCACTCGGCGGCACGAGGGCGGAAGGCTGCGGACACAAAGAAAGAAAGAAAACAGACAACCCAAGGCGCAAGGGAGGGATGGCGCGGATGGGAGGACGGCACGCCGCCACCACACAGGGATTTTAAGGAGAGGAGTGTGGTGCTAGCCGTCGCCCACCCTAGGGAGTCTGCCTCTTCCTATCTCTCTTCGCAGTGTCTCTCGCCGCTTCTCGCTGCGGAAAAAGAAAGAAAGAAAACAGACAACCCAAGGGAGGGATGGGAGGACTGCGGACACACCAAACAAGAACCGCCGAAGTTTTTCGGCGAGCACTACGGTGCTCGCGGATTCGACTGTCCCCCCGATCGTGCCCACCTCCATGAGGACGACGGCGCCTTCTAAAGGTCCGTCGCAGGCTGTGCCTCTTTTGGTACCTGTGTCGAACCTGTGTGCTGTGCGAGAGAGTTCTTGGAGCACTTGGAGTGCAGTTATTAACCTCACATCCAGGGCCGGGGAGCTAAGAAGCGCACCCAGCGGGCCGGATGATCGGTGTCGGGTTACGGGCTAGAGAGCCCTAGCCCCGGGGGTGCGCGTTCGCAGGGCCATAACACGGGTCTCCGAGGGTTGGCTCCGTGTACCGGGTTTCCCCTTAACTGCAGAACGCCGCCCCTCTACTCGGAGCTAAAGAATACTCTCCGAGGGATAGTACCGCGCTCTGGGTTTCCCCTAGCAGCAGAACGCCCCCTCTACTCGGAGCTAGTGGACACGACACTAGCTAGTGATACGAGAATACATACCGCCCCCACGCAACTACTCGAAGATAATACGAGAATACGCAGCTGCGAGACGCCTATAAAGAAACAGCGAGGTAAAGTTCGGCGGCTATGATAAACCGAAAGTTGTCGTAAAACGCGGGCAAAAGCAAAGCAGAGGGCGGGCGCTTTCTGCCGCAGCGATGCCCGCAGCCTGTCGAGCAGCTTCCGCGGCGCACATGCGCCGCGGGGTTGAACGACAGCCGCGCCTCTCGAGCCACCCGTGCCACGCGCGGCGACGCGCACCCTGCGCGCCAGTCGGCGCACTGGCAGTACTGCACTAGCCAGCACGGCGTGGAGCAATGCATCCAGGGCATTGTGTTGGGCGCCAGCCAGCATGCCTCAGCACAGAGCAAGAGCGCATGCTGCGCACCCTGGCGCAGCACCAGCTCGCCTCCAATCAGGCACTCTCACCACTGCACAGCCGCCCACGAGCGCCCGCAGCTGCACTGCTCAACGCTCAAGCTCAGGAGCCTCCCCTTGTTGTCGCAGCTTTGTGCAGTGCAGCGTGCAAGCAGCGCAGCGCCAGGCAGACCCGTGGAACGCCCGGGCGGCTGTGGGACGGAGGCCCGCCGAGCGAGTGCGAGCCGCATTGGCGGCCATGTCTCCCGCAGCCGCGAGCGAGCGGTGCAAAGAGGCAGCGTCGCGCATGCTTTTCCGTAACGGATTTTCGAGTTCGATTTGTTGAATTCTTTACTCGCGCCCACCAATTGCCACATGTATACATATGGGACTGGCGCTCCCCTTCGCGCTCAGCTCTCTCGCGCTCAAGCTGCCTGCCGCCCCGCCTACCGGCGCCGTCGTCGGCCGCGCCCTCGCCGTCGCCGGACCGCTCGCCGCGCCGTCCGCGGTGCACGCCTCGACGGCGGCCGCCGCCTCAACCCTCGCGCTCGCCGAGATCGACTGGTCGTACGAGCTGAACAGACCGCCGATTATTCTGTCGCCCTTCGAGGTGACGCCGGTCGGCTGGACGCTCGCCGCGCTCTACGTCGGCTGGTTCTCCTGGTCCATCTTCCGGCCGCAGTCCGAGGCCGAGGCGGCGGCGTGGGAGAAGCAGGAGGCGGCGGCGTCCGAGATGGCGGCCGCAGCGGGCGCCTTCCTGCGCGAGGCGTCTGCCGAGGAGGGGGCGACGACGAGCGCCTCGGGCCTCGTCTTCAAGAGCCATGCCGAGGGCGAAGGCGCTTGCCCGACGATGGAGGACACGGTGGTTGTGCAGTACAAGGGCTCGCTCGCCGACGGCACCGTCTTCGACTCGTCGTACGACCGCGAAAAGCCGACCGAGTTCAAGCTCAAGCAAGTGATCAAGGGGTGGGGCGAGGGGCTGCAGCGCATGCGGCCCGGCGGGAAGGCGGCGCTTCCTAGACACTTCCTACGCCGCCTCTGGCTCACACCTCCGGAACAGGCGACGCTCACCGCCCCAGATTACCCGAGATTACCCGAGATTAGGCGACGCTCACCATCCCGGCAGACCTCGCCTACGGACCGATGGGCGCGCCACCAACCATCCCGGGCAACGCCGCGCTGCGCTTCGAGGCGCGCCGCGGCAGTCCTGCCACCCCCGCCTTGCCCCCGACCACTCCCCTCCCCCCGGGGGCCACGTCTCGTGCGCTGTCACATCGGGCCGCTCCTCGGTCGCACGTGCGAGGGGCGGAGGCGTCGCGGCGTCGGGTCCCCTCCCTGGAGCCCCCCCCCCCCCCCCCCCTCCCCCCCTTCAAGGTCGAGCTGCTCGAGGTCAAGGAGAAGTCGGGCTTCTCCCTCTTTTAGCGCGCCGCGAGCTCGCCCCCCTCCTCCTTCCCGCCCACCCCGCCTCCCCGCCTCCCTCGGCGCTCTGCCTCGCCGCGTGCCTTCAGCCTACCTCCCGGCCCACTGCCCGAGGACAGGGCGGAGGAGTCTGCGCGGCACAGCCCGGCGGCGGCGGCCGGCGGGGAGAAACTCGCGAGCGCAACCGCTAGGGTCAGGCTCGCGGGCGGGCGGGCGACGCCCGCGGCCACGACGGCGAGAGTTGCCGAGCTCCCGTCCTCGTCGCCTGCGTGGGGTGGGCGCGTTGCCGTTTATCGACCGTTTAGCGTATTATTGATTCTCTTGTATCTCTTGACTCTCTGGTAGAACGGGTATACGAGATTCGAGAGATGTATGTAGGGAGTATTCGCAAAGAGGAGCCCCGCGCACGCACGACTCCGCAGGAGAAACCCCTCCCGCCCGTGCTTGCGCCAGCGCAGCCTCCTCCTCACAGAAAGACTGCGGCCGCCACAGCAACTGAGCGTCTCGCTGGGCGCGGACGGGGACGATAGATGCGAGAACCGAGATCAACAAGACAGTACGAACGTCAGGGGCGGCGACCCCCCCATCTTAAGATGATATGCGCATCTTGAGATAATATGCATCCTAGATGCGCCCTACTTGGACTGCACACTATCTTGCCTATGCTCGAGCATCTCCAGATGCTGAATCCTGAAAGGCTAGTTCCAATTCACTCTCACTGACACGCTAATCTTGAAAACGCGTCCAACGGAGCTCCGTGTTGCTCCCAGCGGAATCCCCCGCGCTTCCTGCGGCCATGGCCGATGATACTAGTATGAGAGGTCATCTGGCTACCGCGAGAGCGACCCAACTCGTCAACATCGTCCGATGATGGTGCCTCAAAGTCAGCCTCCGGAGGCTATCGTGGGGTCGAGCCGGCGGTAGCCGTGACATGTGGTTCCACCACCCCTCGCAGGCTTTGCCTCTGACCGCCACCGTTCCCAGGCTGCCTAATGGGATGGAAAGGAAGGCTGGGCGAGCGTATAGAAGCGTGCTCGACCTCGTCGTGGCAACCTGCACGGCAGCGCTGGTAGGCGGATGAGCGTCGTGCCACCTGACCCAAGACGGGTCGCAGGCGTCGTACCGAGCGTGTCGAGACCGTGTCCTGATGTGATCTGCACGGGTGAGTCACGTCGGCGTCAAAGGAGCGACGTGCGACCTGTCAGAGCTTGATCTCCGATCTCAGCGGCGTCGAGTCGTCTCCGGCGCGCGACAAAGGTACATACCCAGGACGCCAGAGGGCCAGCTTGCGATCGACGATTTAGCTCTGACAGGTCGCCCGTCGCTCGTTTGACGCCGACGTGACTCACCCGTGCAGATCACATCAGGACACGGTCTCGACACGCTCGGTACGACGCCTGCGACCCGTCTTGGGTC